GAGTAGTGGGAGAAAATTATTTTGAGATGCTATTTTCTACGTCTGTTGTTAGGTTTGTGGGTGTTGTTTGCTTTTCAATTAAACTTTCCTGTTGTATCAGTCAAGGTCAAAGACCATTCAAGTTAATTTTGTGTTGTCTGTGATTTATCTTAAACCAGATTATTTAAGTAATTTCAATCAATGTTTCTTTTTTTCACTCCAATTATTGCTTAGGCCTATGGTGAACATCACTGAGAAAATTAAGGGAATGGACATGAATAAACTGCCAAAATGCAGACAGCACATCACATGTTCCATCAGGGACAAAAACACAATGGGCCATTGCTACACCGCAATAATAAATGCTTTCTGCTCTTCTCCTTGTGCAGCTTTGGCACTCTCTGGTTACTGTATAAGAAATTGATTTTTAAAGTGCCATGGATGGAACATTACTAAGTTAAAACACACTTTTATTACATAAATAACATAAAATCCAAAAGGATAAAATAGCAATAAAGCAGGAATGTTCCAAGTATCTCCAGATAATATTGCTTCGCCAAAGGTACCTCACGTTGACACATGAGACCAGTATACAATCATATATAGAAACATATACATAACAATGTGAGTTAAGTAAAAATTGTTATACAAATAAAACTTCTGTGCAAAAACAACCAACCTCCTGTGTATACTAATGCTGCTGACACTTACATGTGTTTCCACATACATATACAGATATATCTTATATTAGTGCCGTGCATATATCTCATATACTGTACTTAATTTACTGAGTGCATCAAAAAACATGTAACTTGTAGTAATAACCACAACTTTCATTTGTGATATTATTCATGCATATATAAAACTTTGTGCCAGATAGGTGCTCCTTTTTTCTTTGTGTCCACATATATTAATAAACTATATGAAGGACTATAAGTTTTGGTTATTATTACATTCATAAGTGTTCAAGTTACATGTTTCTTGATGCACTCAGTAAATTACGTACAGTATAGGAGATATATGCATGGCACTAATATAAGATATATAAGTAAAAATTGTTGCTTGAGGGATATCCAGATGGGAAGAGATGCCTTGAAGCTTTACGCGGGAGAACCCTCGCTTCATCAGAAAGAGTGGAAGATAAGCTAGGAACTGTATGGAGCATAATATAACAATTAATACATAACAATTACATAACAACAATAAGATAAAGATAACAAAACTGCAAGGTATTACTGGCTCACCAACAACACATCCAAAAAGACCGAGATAAGGTAGTAACTGGGGGGCTCCAGAACTCGGTCTGTTCTGAACTATGTAAACATGCTCCCAATAGAAAAAGGTGCCATTTCTGTACATGTTGGTTGAGTTGGTGTGTGGATTGAGAGCTGTTTACCAATTTCAGTCAATGTTTATCATGTACATTTTAAAAATAAATCATGTGATAAAGATTTTTTTTTTATTTCCATATTGGATAAAGGGGTCAGTGCACAATCCATATATAAAATACATTTAAATAAACTATAGTAGGTATTAGGATTTCATTTTGATTTAAATGCTCTCTTGATTTGTTCCCTTCAAAACCAAATCAATATTTATGGCGATCACTCATCACAGAATCAATGCATAAGCTGTAGGTGCCATTATTACTAGATGTTTAGTGGTTTGTTGGAACTCAGGAAATAATTTAATTCTTTGGAATACTAACTCTGCTTCTACTTAGTTAAAACAAGTATTATGTGGTTTGCAAAATCACTGTCTCCTTCTGTCTCGGTTTATTAATTATTCAAGTACCATCCATTTATTTTAGCATTACGTCTCCACAAGCTCTGATTCATTAAGAAGATAAGATACAACATGAACACTTGGATGTTAAAAGATGCTATCTCACAAGTACTCGTACTACAAACGCAAGACACTTGGAAACGTCTGTTTTTTTGTTTATACTTCAAAGAACCAAAAAAAGTTGATTAAGCAGAAACGTGTGAAGTGTGTGGCTCAGTGTTTCTGTCAGTCAAGCAAGCATAATGAATAATCCAACAGACACAGAATGTATAATCAGCCTGCTGAATCCATCTGTGTTTATTTGTTTATTCTGTTTGACTACTTTTTGAAATAAAGGAAACTATGTTTTGATTTTACATGCACATGAATTTGGTTACTCAAAGCGTATATAAACCCGAAAACAAAATAATATACAGTATGTATATATTGCAGCTTATCAGTTATTAGATGTGGCTGTGCTAGTTTTATTTTTTCACCTTTGTTTCCCCTTCATTTTCACTTGCTGATCCTGCCAGTAACACACTTCCTATACTATGGTGATATTGAACACTCTCTGAACTGTTTCTATTCAAGGGATGTATTGGTACTGGAGGCTATTAGCTCATGGTTTAAGTTCTCTTAACCCCTTTTTCTTTTTAGCATAAGGGGTTGTTCTATATTTCAAATAAGTAACCTAGGTAGGGCTGAAAGACTCCTTGTTTGGCATTTAAAGTATAACTTCAATTTTGTTTAAAAAAAAAAAAATTATATATATATACAGTATATATATATATACAGTGGATATAAAAAGTCTACACACCCCATTTAAAATGTCAGGTTTCTGTGATGTAAAAAAATGAGACAAAGAGAAATCACTTCAGTTTATAGGTCACATTAAAGGTGGAAAAAGTTCTGAAATGATTTATCTTTGTCTCATTTTTTTTACATCACAGAAACCTGACATTTTAACAGGGGTGTGTAGTTTTTTTTAATATCCACTGTATATATTATACACTGCACAAAAAAATTAAAGGAACACTTTTTAATCAGAGTATAGCATCAAGTCAGTTAAACTCCTGGGATATTGATCTGGTCAGCTAAGTAACAGAGGGGGTTGTTAACCAGATTCAGCTGCTTTGGTGTTAATGAAATTAACAACAGGTGCACTAGATGGGCAACAATGAGACAACCCCTAAACTGGCCACTGGCATTTTTTTCCCTACTCATCTTTTCTGACTGTTTTTCACAAGTTTTGTATTTGGCTAGGGTCAGTGCCACTATTGGTAGCATGAGGCAATACCTGAACCCTACAGAGGTTGCACAGGCAGTTCAACTCCTCCAGGATGGCACATCAATACATGCCATTGCAAGAAGGTTTGCCGTGTCTCTCAGCACAGTCTCAAGAGCATGGAGGAGATTCCAAGAGACAGGCAGTTACTCTAGGAGAGCTGGACAGGGCCGTAGAATGTCCTTAACCCATCAGCAGGACCGGTATCTGCTCCTTTGTACAAGGAGGAACAGGATGAGCACTGCTGGATCCCTACAAAATGACATCTATCAGGCCACTGGTGTGAATGTCTCTGACCAAACAATCAGAAACAGACTTCATGAGGGTAGCCTGAGGGCCCGACATCCTCTAGTGGGCCCTGTGCTCACTGCCCAGCACCATAGAGCTCAATTGGAATTTGCCATTGAACACCAGAATTGTCATGTCTGCCACTGGCAGCCTATGCTTTTCACAGATGAGAGTAGGTTCACCGTGAGCACATGTGACAGACGTGAAAAGGTCTGAAGAAGCCATGGAGAAAGTTATGCTGCCTGTAACATCATTTAACATAACCGTTTTAGTGGTATGTCAGTGGTGGTCTGGGGAGCCATATCCATGGAGGGTCGCACAGACCTCTACAGGCTAGACAATGGCATCCTGACTGCAATTAGGTATTGGGATGAAATCCTTGGACCTATTGTCAGACCCTACACTGGTGCAGTGGGTTCTGGGTTCCTTCTGGTGCATGACAATGCCCGGCCTCATGTGGCGAGACTATGCAGGCAGTTCCTGGAGGATGAAGGAATTGATACCATTGAATGGCTCCCACGCTCGCCTGACCTAAATCCAATAGAACACCTCTGGGATACCATGTTTCAGTCCATCCGACGGCACCAGGTTGTATCTTAGACTGTCCAGGAGCTCAGTGATGCCCTGGTCGAGATCCGGGAGGAAATACCCCAGGGCACCATCCATCATCTCATTAGGAGCATGTTGTCAGTCATGCATACAAGCACATGGGGGCCATACAAACTACTGAGTAACATTTTGAGTTGCTGCAATGAAATTTCGGCAAAATGGACTAGCCTGCTGCATAATTTTTTCACTTTGATTTTCAGGGTGTCTTTCAGGGTGTCTTTAAATTCAGTCCTCTGTAGGTTGATAACTTTCATCTACATCAAACAATGGGGCATCCTTACGTTCCTAACACATTACCCAGTCCATATCAGTACAGATGTCCAGCATGATATTTTTTCCCATTGAGATCTGATATGTTTTCAAAGTGTTCCTTTAATTTTTTTGAGCAGTGTATGTATACATATTGCCAAATCTATTGGGACACCCCTCCAAATCATTGGATTCGGGTGTTCCAATTACCTCCATGGGCACAGGTTTATAAAATCAAGCACCTAGGCATGCAGACTGCTTCTACAGACATTTGTGAAAGAATGGATTACTCTCAGAAGCTCAGTGAATTCAAGCATGGTACCATGATTGGTTATTTTTTCTTTTACATTATTGCCTGGATTAAACAAAGCAGCAGCATATTTTAATAATTACGATGTTAACAAGTAACAACCACAACAGATCTAAAACCTGTAGAAAATGAACAGTTGAAAAGTAAAGCCAAAGCCCTCAACGTTGCACAAATTGGCCCTTGGCAAAACAGTTGCATAATATAACTTGTGAGCTTCTTTTAAGCAGTACCACACTGTATTGCCTTGATGTTTGAGTGCACAAAACCCCCTTCCCAACCCTGTATCCTTGTATTTATTTCCCGAAATAATAAAAATATAGACTTCAGGTAAATGTTTGGTAGAAATTAGCCAGTAGTAAAGAACAAAAAACAGAGCGCACCAACCTTGCGCATTACCTCAGTAAGCAATTTGTAGATTTATTGATATAGAAAATACTGTATTTTTCGCTCCATAAGACGCACTTTTTACCTCCCAAAAAGGGGGGAAAATGTCAGGGCGTCTTATGGAGCGAATGTAAAGCGGCCGGTCCGGTATTTCTGCTGCCACCATGTCAGAATATCGGGCCGGCTGCTCAGCTCTTCTCTCCTGCAGGACCTTACCTGTTCCTTGCTCCAGCGCTGCAGTCTTCCCGCGGCAGCTTCTGTGACAGGGTGTCTTCTGGGACAGAAGGCTCCGGGCCATTCACAAAGAGCAGCGCTTCTCGCGCATGTGCAGTGGACACCCGGCTGTCACAGAAGCCGCCGCAGGAAGAAGAAGGAAGGGCAACTCCGCGGAATGGGAGCAGGTACCTGTCAAATTCGGGTACCCGCTCCCCCTCCCTCCCCAAAGGTCCGCAGTCTCTGGTAATCTCCTTTACTGTCTGCAGTCTCTGGTCATCTGTACTATGTCCACAGTCTCTGGTCATTCCGTGTACTATGTCCGCAGTCTCTGGTCATCCCCTATACTGTGTCCGCAGTCTCTGGTCATCTCCTGTCCTGTGTCCGCAGTCTCTGGTCATCTCCTGTACTATGTCTGCAGTCTCTGGTCATTCCCTGTACTATGTCCGCAGTCTCTGGTCATTCCCTGTACTATGTCCGCAGTCTCTGGTCATCCCCTGTACTGTGTCAGCAGTCTCTGGTCATCTCCTGTCCTGTGTCCGCAGTCTCTGGTCATCTCCTGTACTATGTCCGCAGTCTCTGGTCATCCCCTGTACTGTGTCCGCAGTCTCTGGTCATCTCCTGTACTGTGTCCGCAGTCTCTGGTCATCCCCTGTACTGTGTCCGCAGTCTCTGGTCATCCCCTGTACTGTGTCCGCAGTCTCTGGTCATCCCCTGTACTGTGTCCACAGTCTCTGGTCATCCCCTGTACTGTGTCCGCAGTCTCTGGTCATCCCCTGTACTGTGTCCGCAGTCTCTGGTCATCCCCTGTACTGTGTCTGCAGTCCATTGGTTTAGAATATTTTTTTTCTTGTTTTTCTCCTCTAAAACCTAGGTGCGTCTTATGATCAGGTGCGTCTTATGGAGCGAAAAATACGGTATATTCACAAGAGTAGCAATACAACAGGCATATAAAATCCCAGAAATAGTCCCTGGATTAGGAGACGTGCGAATCCCATCAGGAGGGGAGACTCTCAGGACAAAGCTGACGCTCTTCGAAGGGAGGGTCCCCTCTTCATCCTGAGAGTCTCCCCTCCTGATGGGATTTGCACATGTTTCCTAATCCAGGGACTGGTGTCTGGGATTTTTTTATGCCTGTTGTATTGCTAGTCTTGTGAATACAGTATATACTGAGGTAATGCGCAAGGTTGGTGCGCTCTGTTTTTTGTTCTTTACTACAGTTTATATCAAGCTTCCCCAGCTTTGTATTAGAGCTGCACAACCTTTGATCGGTCCTGGAGGGACTTCCATATATCATACTTTATATTGGTCCATCGGTCCTCTACTGATCTGGCTCCCTGAGCGCAGGAGGTGTTGTATCTGTGTTTACTGGTCTGTCAGAAATTAGCCAGTGTCAAGACAGTACGTGAACAGCTGAATACATAGCAAATTAAAACAGACAAGGCACACTTTATCTTGGACTAAAAATTAGAATGTACTCTCTGATCATAGCTCCAGGCTGAACAGTATGTAAGCAGCTTGGTTAAGCTGTAATATAAAAGGGAGAGACAAGGCTGATTTTATCTTGAAATAACTTTACAGTGTATTATTTGAGAGACAACAGTCTCTGATATTTTATAGTGGCTGGACAGTATGCAAGCAGTTTGATTAGGTTGCACTATAAGAGGGTAAATGAGGCAGGTTTTATCCTGAAATAAACATTTGTATATTTTTTCAGCAACGGTAGCAATAAATAATGAGCAGTCACTGCTGTAAGCAACTTAATTCTTCAAAGAAATGCCCCACAATGTAAATACAACATCAATCATGTCTTCCGGCTTCCAGATGTAGATACTTCATAAATCACAATGAAGGACTCAATGATGACCCACATGACAGCAATCTTCTGTCACCAATAACTCCATTGCAAATGACAGCTCTCCAGCCAGCTGCTGAATTTTAACCAACTGGCCTTGGAAGATGGCTGACATGATTGAGCATATATTGCCATTACTCTATGTAGTCAGTGACATCGCCCACGATGCTCACCAGTTTCTTTACAATTTGAAATAAGCTACTGGGCAACAGAAAGCTGTTATCAGTTAGTGGCAATAGTGATGCACCACTATATGAATAACTTGCAGTTGCAACAGCCAGAGGCTCGAGTGTACAGGAGCTGGTAATGATGGCATTCCAGCACAGGTGGCAGGAGATGGTAAAGCAGGCAGGTCAGCAGAAGTGACAGGAGCAAGTAATGATGGCAAGCCAGCAGAGGTGGCAGGAGATGGTAAAGCGGATTAGGTCAGCAGAAGTGACAGGATCAGGTAATTGTTGGCTCCCAATAGTCCATGGGGTCTTAACTTTGAAGAGTGCCCACATTAGCTCTGGACCCAAAGTAGTCTGCAGTCATATGGATGAGGCACTGCCTGTCACTGTTGTAATTGAAGAAACATCTGAAAGGCATCACTGGGGCAGCACCCTCCATCATTGCTCCTTCTTTTAGGAATGTTAGCATTGGCTGATCATTGGACAATAGAGCAGATTTTGTCACTATCTGTAAATGTGTTCAATAGATTCCCTCTGGGATGGTCGCATTAGATATGACATTTATCTATTGCATCGGGGATGAAAAAGGGTTGCCACCCACTAATATCTCAACTTCATGGCTCAAATCCTGAGGTCCTTGTGGAGGCATTTTGGAATAAAAGAGCCCATTCACCAACAACTGCCTGCAGCAGAGGGCCCCAAGTCTTTAGTGTCACTAAGGACAACAGTATATTTAACAGTCTCTCCAAACCCTCTTGCAACTATAAGTTTTGGGAGGTTTGAAATGTCTCCTGTGAAGCCTTACCCATACTCCTTTTCTGCTTCATACTTCTTCTTCCTCACAATGATGTGAGTAGCAGGCAAAGGAATCCACGTCCAGTGCCAGGTCTGTAACACCATGCATTCTGTTCTCCAGGAGATATACCAGAGGGATCGTGTTGTTAATCCCATTAGTCCAGTAACCATTCTGCTCACCTCTTTCGTTGGTGACCAGAAGCTGCATTATGTCAAGACTGACATAATGAAAAGACCCACAGCTCCCCAACAGTCCTCATCTTGTACTTACAAAAGTACTCCTTGATGGCCCACTGCTGCTCGTGCATCCACTCTGAATCATGGCCAAAGTTGAGTTCCAGCAAGTGGGTGTATAACATATAATGTGGTTGACAACAGGCAACAGTGCTGTCACTGCATTTCGGCCAGTTAAGAACTTGCAGAGTGTGGCTTCACACAGGGTGTGGCTGGCCAGATTAAGGACATCCTAGAAGCCAGGATACCTAACCAGGAACCAATTCACCACCAGGTTGAGGGCATGTTGCAAGCAAGGTATGTGTGCGAATTTTCTCTTTGAGGGGTAGCCAGCAGGTTTACGTTGTCATATATGATCTTGCTTGATACAAGATGGTGTGGCATAAACCACTTCTCAGCGTGGTCTTGGAGAGTTTCCAGAATCTCTGACCCAGTGTTGCTCCTGTCCTTCAGATATAGCAGCTGCAAAACAGCATGACAGAATTTTGCCTGGGCTTTTGCATAGGTTTTGATTCACTTTGGGAGACTGGGTTCTGAGAAGTCAGGGGATGAGGTAAATGAGGAGGGGTAGAGATGACTGTTCTGTCACTGACACCAGGGTACAGGACATGGGGTAGCAGCACCAGCACCAGCACCAGCAGTGTATCATATCTTGCATTATTCCTAACCTACATTCTGAAGAGATTCAGTGTGTAGTAAAGTAGACATAGCATCCTACCCATACTTGCTGGACCATGTGTCCATTGTCATGTTTACAATTCTGCTTATAGAGTGGTCTAAAAACAGAAACACATTACTTTCCACTTGCTGGTGACGAGCAGGCAGGGTTTTTTTGTCAAAATAATGGGGACTGGGTACATTCCACTGTGGTGGAGAAGACTTTAAATGTGCAGTAGAGAGCCAAACTCATAAGCTGGAACGTGAAAAGTCAACAATTTTTCCAAGATGGCATAGAGACACTGGATGAGTGGATGACAAGGGGACATTATTTTCTTCTCCTTCGGCAGTTGTGGAAGAGACACCTTCCTGGTGAAGGGTGCTGCTGGTAATAATGGAGTGGGGTTAAGAGACTTACGGCAGGAGTTCAAGCCTATGCTTGACCCTACTCAGCATAGCCCCATGCTGATCCCCCTACAAGCTTGAAATGGCATAAGAAAGGCCTCCTAAACCCCTTTTGAGACTATCTTTCCTATTAAAACAGAGAGCAAAGAAGTGAGCGCTTTCAATAGACAAGCAGCTGAAGCACACAGGATAACCAAAAAATCCTCACATGAAAATAAAATATAAAGTGCAGCGCTAAAAATTTAAATGTGACACAAAAATAATATTCATAAAAAAGTCCCAGTTAAGGTGACCTAGGGTAACAATGCACACTGACCAGAAGTGCACATAAATAGTGCAGTGTAGTAAGGATGGAGTTCAAAAAGTAGTCATCAGCATGGAGAGGGTAGATGTATTCCCTTGATCAATGAAGGTCCACACGGTGAAACAGAGCTAGACAGAAGAAATCCACTGGATGGCAGAAAAATAATCACGGCTCCACCAAAGAAAGCACCGCTCCTCCACTGCACATCAACGATATCTGAGAAAAAAATTCTCCCCACAAGGGATCAAGAAAAAATGCCCATAGTGAAGTATAGTTAAAACATATTTATTGGAATAAAGCAGGATGCATCCAGTAAAATGGCAAAAGCTAGCACATGTAAAACGGACAGGACTAACCGTCCTGTCAGATGTAGTGGCCACCGGAGCTCCACAATGCTCCGACGGCGTGACGTCGTGACGTCAAGGCGTGCATAGGCTACTCCTTACGCGTTACGTGCCGAGCTTCCGGCGGCCACTACATCTGACAGGACGGTTTTTCTTCTGTCTAACTCTGTTTCATCGTGTGGACCTTCATTGATCAAGGGAATACATCTACCCTCTCCATGCTGATGACTACTTTTTGAACTCCATCCTTACTACGCTGCACTATTTATGTGCACTTCTGGTCAGTGTGCATTGTTACCCTAGGTCACCTTAATTGGGACTTTTTTATGAATATTTTTTTTGTGTCACATTTAAATTTTTATCGCTGCACTTTATATTTTATCTTTCCTATTGCTTGGGGCTGCAAATATTGTGACAGATGAAGATTAAGAATCTTGTTGAGGTGGGGAAATAAGGAGTGTGGGGGGCTTTACTCCTGATTGTTATTATTGAGGTGTTGCTCCCCGTGTCACGGATTCATGTGTCTTCTCATGCATAATGTACCCAAATGGCTTGTATTTTTACTACTGATACAGTGCAGGCAAAAGCTGTAGAGCACTCTCTGCTGTCAGCAGTAGCTGTATGAAAAAGAGACACAGATTTCAGAGCTCTGAAGAATGACCCTTGAAATAGCAGTGGCCTAAACCCATGGGCCAATGTCATTAATAGAATAGTATCTCTCTTCCATCATCTGAAAGCTGCCTAGAACAAAATCTCCCCTCAATGCTGCTCTACCTCTCCATCACTTGCCTCCTCTCCAGTCACTGGTGCTCAAATACGGTCTGTCACCTCATCATCCCCACCCTTCTCATCAATGGAGCCCACTTGGCAGTGAGTTGCAACTGCAGGATCATCACTGTCTCTTGCTGCTTCTTGCCCGATGTCCCCTTCCTTTGTAGTGCTGGAATGCTCTTTCTATCCTCGTATTTCATATATTGAATTTTTATGCATCCTCCTGAACAGGAGACTGTGCTGAAAATTTTTTACCAAACCCTCCATGCCCGGAGAGGAGGAAGAAGAG